ATGTGTTTAGAGAGTATTTAAAGGCTCCCAATGCGTGCCCGGACCCTCACCACCCTCACCACCCACACCCGCCCATCCTTCGGCTTGCCACCACCACTCCCACCACTTACACCGCTTCCAGCACTTTTAGAGGTTTTTGTATGTGTTTAGAGGCGACCGCCTGCCTGCGTCTTCTGGCTCGTGCCCACGCAGATGCGCGGAGACCCTAGGATGCCTTTGAGCCCACGTCTGTCCTGATCCTGTAGTGGCTAGCAGTGCTGCCTGTTCACGTTTAAAGGGGTCGGCGGCAGTGGCGGCAGCCATTAAATATATATATATATATGGGGGCCATATGTGCGCGTATATGTCGGTAGATCGACCGATGACTGCATGCATGCCGGACTATGCTGAGCCGATTGTCTTGCATGTTGTGCATTTTCTGCATGCAACAGATTGCCGCAACCGCGCATGCCTGCTTGCAGCTGCGCGGAATCTGCATCCAGATTCCATGTCACCTGACCTATACATCGCCCAGGTGCTGCCTGTGGTCTAGTCTATGCAAACGTCAAGGCATGTACGGTAGCACTGCATGGGTCAGACGATGTACATCAGCCGAAGCACCTCGCTACCGTTTGTTTACTCTGGAAGTGGCCCCTAGTGTCCATGTTCGAGGACGGTGCTCACACATGCACATGCGAAGTCCTAAGACCATGCAATCTGCCATCCCTGTGACGGGTCAGCTGAGCAGTGGAGCACAGTCACCGAGAGGCAGCGAAAGGAACTGTGTTACACCTGTTACGCAATTACGCAGCTACGAAGTAGAACAGCAACAAAACAACCGGGAATCCTACAAAAAGAACCCCCCTGGATGTCACTGGCCAGGAGTCTGCGAAATGTAGCGTGTTCAGATTACTCAGGCGCTGCGGTCGACGCCAGAATTCTCCAAGCAGCTCGTCCATCGTGTCACCTGCAGAACACAGCCATTCACGTGCAACACAAATACACATCAAGTTGGTAAAGAGACTGAATTTGCACAAGCTGTGTTCATGCCATCTCTGCTACAGGCGGAGAAACGAAGCGCCAAAACTACCATACTTCACCTTTCGCATTTGAGTTCACACAGGTTCGTTCGAGGCCGAGGGCAATGAATTTACCTGCAACATAAACCAGTGCCTGGACTCTCTCTTTGAGTCACAAGCGTCTCGGCTTGGCGCAGCATGGATGGTGTCACAAGTCTCCTCAGCTTACACGAACTCGGACAGCCACCGGCCGGGAAAAGAGCACAAGACCATGTATCCCATGCTTGTTTCCGGTCCCAGATTCGTCACAACATCCCGCGATCGTGGCACAGAGCGCCCGTCAATGAAAACATATGGGGCATAGGGGGGGTCTAAAGCATTCATTCCAAATCGTGCCACAAAATGTGACAGGTTTGGTCCCAAACCATGGACATGGCCCCAATGGACTTGCGTAGATGGAGCCAGTCCCTGTGGGAAGTTCGAATGCTCGGACAGCCATGCAAAGGCTGCCCTCGTGGTCCAGGAAGTTAATGAAGGCCAGAGACAAGTTCTTATGATGCCGGATGTCATAAGGCAGATGAACAAAGTCATAAAGCCCCCCGCAGGCATCCAGCATGTCCAACAGCACAGTGCTTGTACACCTGGGAGGCACGCGCTTGAGTACCAAACTGGTCAGTTCGGGGTCTGTGAACTCGTCCAGCATTGAACGCTGCGCAGAAATACCTGCAATCAGGGACAAGCCTGCACAGTCCCCTTGAGAAGAACTCGAGTTTGCAAACTTGGGTGCCTGTCGCATGCTAGCACATAGCATGGAGAGATCCGGCCGAGCCATCAAAATTGAGCCGAAACCCTCTGAGGGAGGCCAGAGAAAGCATGAAGCGACGGGCTTTTGGGGCCTTGGCGGCCATGCTGGCAAGGCGCGCGTTTCTTTTTGAGAGTTTGCTCTGACTGATTTGTCGCGGCTTCGCAGAGGGCCCTTCTCAACAGTCCGGGAGCTCTCCGATGGCTTCGATACTCGCTTCGGGCCTCGGCTCGCAAGCGCTGCGGGCTGAGCACACTCTTCCAGCTGCAGCTGTGGCCATTTGGTCCAAAGAATTGTCTCGATCTTCTTGGCATGCGAGTCCATGACTGCAGCCTGCAGAGCCATTGGTGTGACTTCTGCTTGCTGGCAACGAAGAACTTGCCTGTCTTTTTGGCGGCAGATCCGCGAATGGAATCCAAAGTGACCATCCGCACCTGAAGCAAGTGGAGAAAGCTGCGAAGATCTGCAAAGTGAAGCTCTGCTGCAAATAGCTGCAAACCCAGCTAAGCCGCTCTTTGCGGGGTTTTTGACACTTGGGACACCAGTCAGGACTGTCCGCGGGGACCGGGGCAAAGTCCATCGTTTTGAACCTCGCAGAAGCACCGGCAAAAGGAGGCCTCAGGCCAGGGAAGGTGGCACTGCGCCTGCGGTCGTAGCAGAGGCAGCATCTCCAGGCACCTTCTCGCTGATATCGGGCATCCTCCGAAATCCCTTGCTGCAACACTTTAACACAGATGCGACAGGACAAAGGAGCTCCTGCTGGTCGAATTTCGGCTCCAGTGGCTCGTCCTCTGGTCGCTGCTCCCCTTGCAAGTCCGGGCCTGAGGTGTGCAAAGCTCAGGTCTTGAAATAGCTCCAGAAGAACTGCCCCAAAGTCACCTGTCGCGAACATTTTGCAGCCTCGGCGCGGTCGAAGGCGAGCATGACCTGCAAATTGGACACCAAGTTGCAGCCAGGCCCGAAGTTGCAGGTCGGTTCGCCTCGAAGCGCCACTCCCGGTACTTTCCCGGAGACTTCTTCTTGTCTTCAGGATCTGCCTGCACAACCTCCGCAAAGCGTCCAAGAGAGCTCTTAAGGAATGGAACCGAATCCTGACGGGGCTCTGCCTCTTCAATCTCACCAGGCTCGGGCTTGTAGAACTTTGGTGGCTTGGTCGCCACTGCACCCTTGGCGCTCTCGTCTCAGAAAGGAAAACTCAGCTGCCATTTTCTTGGCCTTGCAAGCGTTCACCTTCAGCTCGGCCAGGCGCGGCCCGCCTTTTAGGACTGCCCTGTCACTGCCACTGCCATCCCTGCCCACCTGTCAGCCTGGAGGCAGACCGTTCCAATGATAAAGCCTCGGCCAGGTCTGCAAGGACATCTGTGTTTCCCCTTCCCGACGGTAGATTTTTCAGTCTAGAAACGTGAACTGGCTCCCAGGCGCAGCCGGCGTTGCAGCTGCAGCCCAGGCTACAGTGAAGTGATCTCCACCGTGTAAAATCCAAACCTGCATCTCAGACAACAACTCACCGCACAGAGTGGCGAAGCAGAGGGAAAGGCCGGGGTGGTCGGACTCTTCAAAGCATCAGCCATCGGAATACCTTTCTCCTGCACTGATCTGCTTGCACAAGCCTTCTCCCTTTTTGTTGCCAATGCCGGTGTTCAACTTCGATACATGCCGTCCAGTTGTGCGCTAATGCATGCAAGTCCTTCTCGCTGCGGGATAGAATGCCGACGGTGTTGAAACCCTCCCAGGTTTTGTTCGTGCCTCACCAGGCTGGCGAAAACCGCACATGGAACTGCTTGGACGCTGTAAGGAACGGACTACCGTCGGCATGGAAGACTCCCACGTTGCCGTGTGCAGTTCCCCGCAGAAGCAAGGACATCAACTCGATGCTGCACAGCCAGCAGTTGAACTGCCTGAGACGACCACCGCTCGCAAAACTCAAAAGCCTGGCCCCGACATCACAGCGAGAAGATACCTACTGCAGTCGGGCGACTTGGGGACGAGAGGAAGCTCTCCACCCTCCGCCAAGACTTCTTCCCTCACTTTCTCTACACCTCAGCCGCAATTAAGCTCGAGTTGGAAGACATTGCAGAGCTGGACTGGCCTCGTGTGAAAATCGCAGAATACATCAGGTCAATGATGCCCCCAGGAGCTTGAAAATCAGCAATGCGCGCCCGCACCTCGGACACTCTGAGTGCCAAAACCGGATTAATCACGGCTGCAACACCCTTGCGCCTCTTGGCCCACCGCGGCATCTGGAAGCTCAGTGATTTCTAGATCAGAAGTCGGCGAATAATCTCCTGAACCGTTAGCCACCACGTACTGCTCAAAGCTGCAAAGAACCACTGCCATCTGCTATCGAGCGTTGGCAACTGAATTTGTCTCGGATATTGTCGGATTACCACGAACAAAGCTGCTCCCTAAACCCACTACACTTCACAGCAGGTCGCTCTGCCTCGCCGCTTTGGTCTGCAAAGGCGGACAGGTCCATCACAGCGGCATCGTACCAGAATCTGTGCAATGACTTCAGCAGCAGCCTCTGCACTGACCTGCACGCATACGCTACAAGAAAACGAGGGCAACAGATATAACCTCCGAGCACCGGAAAAGGCCGCATCTAGCAGAATGAGCACGGGCCAAGAGGCCTGCACTTCGGTTGCCCGCGTGTGCTGCCCGGCCAAGATCAAGGCGTGAACCACAGCGAGGACACCACAAGGTCCATTCTTTGGCTGTGGGATTCCGCCAGCCCAGCCACCTTGGACCAAGTTGAAGCGACAAAGCGCGGAAAAGGAGAGAGAACTGCCTCCACTGTCCAAGCGCTGGAGACGCCACGCCTCTGTTTCTTTGGGGGAAACCTAAGCCGGGAAGCATCGGGAAGCCTTCCGGCCTCCGGAGGCTCTTCCGCTGTCGGCCAAACGGCACTCCACCAAGAGGGCAGATCCTGAGACCGCTCAGCTGGAAGTGCTTGGCTTCAGCCGTGGCTTCTGCCTGCTGCATGGGGATCGCCTCCGGCTCTGTTACACCAGTCATTGGCTCATCACCTGCCCGAAAGAAGCTCCACTACTTCTTGTCTTGTGATAGGCTCTTCTTGCCTTGGCTAGTCATGTAGATTTCCACGGCAGTCTCCACATCCCCACCGGCCATTTCAAGGAATGCAGCCGCCTTGCCCAGCAGGCAGGAGAAAAGCAACTTCTCAAAACGACTCTTTGCGCATCAACGTTGCGAGGCTGCCTGGTCTGCGGATGCCCCCGTGAAATCCATGAAGGTCTGCACATTCGCCGCCATGGCGAATGGTGTTTCACTGTGCTAGTGGATTTCATACCAAGGCCCCGTACCTCGAGTTCCAGATTGTCTACACTGTTGCGAGAATGCGTAAACATGGTCATGATTACGCTGCGCCCCTTGGAAGATATGCTACCTGCTAGTAAGCCGAATGCGCAGCTTGCATGGGCAACATTTGCGTAAAAGGGCAATGACCTATGCCCCGAGGCCCGCCTTTACTCGGCTGGGGTGGATGCCCAATGCAAATCAAAACCGGCCACGCAAATCCAGTTGGCGCAGCAGGAGGCTCCACCTCCTTGTCAGCCCGGAGCGCCGGGGATGCGAAGCCAAGCTGACTGCCGTCTCTTTGCAAGACCTTGCCGTCAACTCGCGCTACAGGTCAAGAGGAGAACCACGACGAACCGAACTTGCTGGATAGCCCCCATGTCTCCCGGCACCCCACTCCATCATATCATGGATAGATGGAGGCATCCTAGATAGAGCCTTGGTAAAACAAACTGCCAGAAACTTGATTCTCCAGTCTTCTCTAAGGAGCTCTCACATCACCTATCCCAGTACCGAGAGCTACAATGGGACAGGAGACGAGGGCATCGCGAGTTGCTTAAACTCTGAGCTCGCAGCCAGCAGCAGCCAGCTCTTTTTTCTGCATTTTCTGCAAAACGAAGGCCTCGCAGTCTGAAAACCAATCATCTGCCGCGGTGGTGCGAGCCCAAGCGGATGCCAGCTTCTGTGTTGGCATCTTAGCTCTGGGTCGTCATTTCCGTCCGAGCAGGGACAAGGGCTTTCAGCCCACCCACCTCGACTTTGTCCGAGCCGTCGTCGTCCGCATGCTTCAACACAGCTTGCAGGTGTTCACCGAGGATAGGAAGTTGACGAGTTTCCTCAGCGGCATCCTTGATGATCTGACCGAACTCTTGCATTGAGAGCTGGCCAGTGTCCAAATCGTAAAGTTGGAACGCCTTCTGCAAGCATCACTTCAAGTCTTCAGCGTCGAACTTTTGCACCAGGGCCCCCAACATTGTGTTGCGGCGCTGGGCTCAAGGATGCAAATCCCACAAAGGTCACAAGCAGCCCAAGGCGACTCTCGCGCCACCGCGGCCTCCCGCTCCAGCACTGGCCTTCGACATCACTGGCGCTCGCCATGGGCGGAGATCAAGACCGGAGATGACCGAAGCAAGCTGAAGCCAAGCCAAGGCCACTCGAAGGAGGCACGAGGGAAATTCAGCTTGTCCTGGTCAGAGTATAGCCGTAGCATTGCTCGCAAAAGTAGCGGTAGTTTCAGCAGTAGCATCAGTAGCAGCGGCAGGCGTAGAAGCAGCGGCAGGCGTAAAAGCAGTAGCAGCCATGGGTAGTAGGTGGCTCGGAAGAGCACGTGTCTGCGGGCCCGCCCTTGGTTGGTCTCTCTCAGGTCAACACGATCAGCAATGTCTCCCGTGGTGTCTCGTGGTTCACCTGGTTTGGCCTGGGAGCTGGCAGCTACACTTCTCAGGGCGTGTTCTCTTTCATCACTCAGATGGGCACTTTTCGGTGCTCAATCTTTCAGCATCCTCACCTCCACTTCCCGAGCACTGGCAGTTGACAAAACTGCATGCCATTATGCAAGGTGACAATGGCCTGGTCCGGCAGACGTCGCCTGAGGCGGCAACACACTGCTTCCGAATTCTGCGAAGAAGAAAGGGACAGCCGGCAATGATGCGAACTTGTTCCTCCATCAAGCAATACGCTGTCTGCTGGTCGCATATCGGAACCGCTGCCATTGGGCAGTCGACTCGATCACCCTACCTGTCACAAGGAAAAACTGCGTTGTCAGCGACCTTTATTTGGGGTGGTGTACACCCTCTTTGTCCCCCTCCAGGGCATGGATTAAAAAATCAATTGTTCTGGTGGGAGCGGATTCTCTCGGAGATCGCATCGCTGATGTCCTTGAAACAAGGACAGGCCATGCCTACAGAGAGTCGGACGCACCTGAATCTGAGGCCCAGACACACAAATATGCAAAAGCCTCTTAATTTCAATGCAAGATCAAGCAGCCAAGAAAAACTCTTTACAAATGTCAATACCCGTTTCGGCATCGCTACGGTTTTTATGATTTGTCATGAGAACATGAGCATCCCAACAAGCAACCCAAATATCGACCCCGAGTAGTAGATCCTTGTCGGGTGTCCTCCCAAAGCAGTGGCACGACTAATTGGTGAAATCGGGTCTTAAAAGCGCCCAGCTTCTCCATACTCCTCCTTGAGCGGTTCGGGATCTTCTGCCCAACATCTTAGCTTTGCGATGCTGCACGATAACAATGCCAGGACTTGAATCAACCTACAAATTGTCAAATCCAGGGTGGATCAGTCTTTTCTGAATTGGGATCGAAGCTTGCGCCATGCCAAGGAACGTCAAGATGGTTTTTGTGCCGCTTGAAAAAATGGTCATGGCGCTTCCACCTTCAAGGGATCAGCCGTACAGGTGAACTCTGACAGCCCTGCGCAGCGCTCTGCCTCCGAGAGCACCTCCGACAAAGCCCATCAGCGCACCAATGCAGGCCACCACCCAAAACTCGTTCTCTGATGTAGCTGACTTCACCCCTGATGGGTCAGTATGTACGTGAAGTCCTGTCGACGGCTGCAGGCCTGAGCCGAACTAGGCTTCTTGCACATGCGCTCCTTCGCTCCTGTCAAGAGTGCACGCTTGGTGCGACATGACAGCACAGGTTTTCCATCTTGCGCTGCACTGACAACTCAGGAACGCTCCGACCACTGCGACGACGACGCCCAAAACTGCGCCCACCAAAGCCGAGAGGAAGGCTCCCATGTTCACGACAGAATCCACGAGCAGATCGTTGATTATGCACCTGGGATGCCCAACATCCAGTCGGAGCACTTTGGCCAAACACCCGGAGTCTGATTCGACAAGCTTCTCAATGCCATTGCATTCCATCAGGGCAAAGGTAGAACGCACAGACTGGCAGAAGGCAGTGCCACGAATAGCACATTGCACCTGAGGAGGGGCAGTGCGCTTCTTTTCTCATTTGCAATGCAACAGATTGAACAAAATCGTGGGCTTTCAGGGCTTTGCTGCGTGAAACAAGCATTGTCGTTGTGTTGCTACTGATGTTTGCGATTTTGGCAGCGTGCCACGCAGGATCTGCCCGTGGAACTGGTGTAGCCTGCAAACTGTTGACCCGGCCCTCACGTCTGCCCTCGGAGTTGCCATGCCTTCAAAGCAGCCGCTCGCAGGCCCACATCTCCCCCCTTGGGCAAAGCAACCCTCCCACGCAATGGGCTGCACTCAGTAGTTTTGACATGCCACTCCGAAGATCACGAATATTGCGCGCACTGCGAAAATTGCTATAGAGTTTCCCTAGATTTGAACACAACTGTAGGGCTCCAACAGCGTGTCCCGGAAGCACTCATGACCATTCGCTACAAATTCAAAAGCGACAGTGAAAGCTGATCTGTGGAATGCGGGGCGATGATTGGCCTGCAAGATTCACACATGGCCTGCTAGCGATTGACTTGGGAAATCGTTTCGGTTTTGAACTCACGGCTGCATGCTTTATTACCCCTGGAGCTTGTTTGGCGGCAGTGTTAGAGCATGGTGCGATTCTTCTTTCTGAGTTCCGGCTATCAGCTGGAATCCTTACGTCAGAAAGTTGCTCTCGGAATGCGGAGCTGCAGTACATCTGTTCTACATTGATGCAAAGCAGGTTGGGCTTCAGAAAACTCGACAGCAGGAGCGCATAGACCCAGTCGTTGAAATACTCCATGATGTCTCCTGGCTTCTTCCAAGTATGCTGCTTCGTTGGGCAAGGCTGGCAAGGCTTGTCACTGTTGCCCTTGCCCCCCTTCTGGATGATCCGCCATGTTCAGTCGCCATGATTCAGGCGTGTTCACACACACACACATACACGCACAAGCTCTCGGATGTCAGAGTAATAAGCATGGGTGCGTGTCGCACGTATCGCATGTCAGTCCTATGCATGAGATGACGCAGTCCAGGACACAAAGGAGAACGCATGCGACGACATTACCTGCCGAGGTCAAGTACATCATGATCAGCATCTTCATGCAAGAAGCTGAACAGCGAGAGGCCTTCTTGCATTGCCTCGCTTCTCGCCCGCCGAACCTTACCACTTACGGGACCAGAAAGATTTGTCGGCATGGAGGATCGACTAACACACATACTGCAAACGGAGTTTGCGTTGGGCTTCCGGCTACGAAATCAAGCGTCCGCACAACAGCAACGGTCAAGGATCCCAAGCAGATACTGCCTTTGCTGCGACAACTCAGAACTTGCAGAACTGGTGACGCCCACCTGTCTTTTTCATTCTCAACCGAGGCTTTCCAAACTGATGCCAAGATACCAAAGGAAGTAGTCAAAGCCACTCGAATGCTGCTGGTGAGCGGCCAGCCTTTCGAATCGCTCGTTGATCTCAGGTTTCTGAACTGGTGACCACAACTCCTACGCCCATCGCCGCATGGAAGAGTCTGCACCGGTTGCACCCTGGCCTTCTTTGTCAAAGTACCATCGTCCGAATACACCGCAGTAGCTGGTGTGGCAAGCATTTTGCACGACTTGCCCACCCCAGACGAGGAGCAGCACGAAAATCTCGGCTTGTGATGCAACCAGCTAGCATGGTGCACTCCTGCAAAATTGGCTTGACATCTCTCAGAGAGGCAGCCCAAGCAATAGGTGGGTTTGCTTTCCTTAAGGCAGATGACCCAGAGCCACGCACAGTACATGCATTGTGCAGGGTTGTCAGCATTCGATGAGTGTCCTCCATGTGGGCTTTGAACTTGGAGAGTTGCTGTCCAAGGATCAAGTGCTGGTCTGCGGTGTCTGACCGCAGCTTGAGTTCGACACCCAACCAGCAACTCGAGACCAGTACGATCCAGAGGCCAGACAAAATGGAACCCAAAACGGAAACTGCAACCATACCTAGGCGCTTTCACCGAAGCAGCGACGTCAATTGGCTCGGATTGACTCAGCACAAGTAAGAATCCTGCATGGGTTGTCGTTGGAAACCTCTGCTACCTGAGAGAGGCAAAGCCAGGACTGGGAGCAACCGCTCAAGCGCACAAGATCGCACAAGTCACGTCTCACAGGCATTTACCAAGCCGCCATCTCCAGGATTTCGACGGTGAAGGGAATGCGATGGCGCCAGCGCCAAACGCAGGTGGCGTAGCAAACACCAATGAACAGCATAAAGCAGCCTGAAACGTGGCTCAAACAAGGATTGCAAACGGTACAACTACGTCCAACTACAACTACCCTTTACAGAGATTATGCAGCAATGAGCAAGATGGTCACACGGAGTCCTTTGAGGTGTGGTCCTGTGTCAAGCCTCTCTAGCGCAGGAGTCCCGGCAAGGATGGGCAGAGCTAGTTTCAGGCAACTTGTGCGCAGGACAAGCATGCCATTCAGGAGGGTGTGGCTGATTTTGCATCTAAGGCATGCCAGATCAATGCTCACCATCACCACCCCGACCCAAGCAAAAGGCTGTGCAAAGCGGATGGTTGACTGAGTGCTGCGGCAGAAAACGTACCGCACAGTACTTTGGAACACGGCGAGGGGTGCATCAGCAGTGGGACGGTCCAAGTAAAGTTGAGGCATCCCGAGTCAATGCCGGAGTGCTGCTTTGTCAGTAATGCTTCCGTGTCCAGAATGATCCCAAGCGACTCGGCCACTCGGGAGATTGCACTTCATACATACTGCAGATGCAAGCTCTGTCGAACCAACAATGATGCCTTGACCTTGACACGACAGAGCGAACCATGTTCGCCGCTTGTCCGCGCCTGCCGGCAGCCATGTGGCCAGGAGAACAACCCCAACAATGATATAGATCGTCGGGACAAGGAAGAGCGACACATACCTGCATGGACATGCGACCTGCACTGGATGCTACGTTTCGTGCCTTGGCGAACCGGGGCTCACACACTAATGGTTTGGCACACGCTTTGGCCAGCATCATGAAGAAGAATGCGGCGACTAAAGAGCCGACCGTGCCGGCGACGCCTCACGATCACAACCATTCTGCGACGGCACAGGCAGATCAGGTCGCTAGCTCAATCAAAGCCCTGGCCCAAAATGGCAAGACCCACTCCGAAACAACATAACATGTCATGCAAAATATAGCTTTCAATCCGAAATGTGAATCGAATTAGACAGCCATGCTCCCAAACCCGGAGCACTCCGACCCAATCAGCTAAGCTTGTTCGGCACACACCCGGAAACTCAAGCCAACCAAGAGCCCTCACACGAGGCCGAAGTTGTGAATGCTGCACTCCAATGCTCTTTTCACTATCCCTCAAGAAGGAGTGCTGCGTAATGTACTTTTTAGGACTTCTTGCTCCTGTTCACGGTCCTGGCCGGCCTACGTGACTTGAAACGTTGCTGTGTAGTTCTAGGGCCTATCTAGGGTGGTCAGAAGAATGCCAGTCTACACCCCGGCGGTCATCTGTAGCACCTTCTGTTTTGGCTCAGAACTTTCTTTTTGCGATCCCGTCTGGTTTCTTGAGGAATCTCTACACAACGGTGCGTCCTGCCTGCCCTGAAATGAAAACTCCTGAGGGGACCTGAAGTTTCCTAGGCAGCAGCGGAGTTGATGGTCCTGTGTGAGGCAGTGCCCGCGGAAAAAAAAAACCTTCATGAACCGGATGGCGTGCCAATTCTCGTTTCGAAGAACAATACACTGGTCCCTTAACACACCCCTTACTTCCCGCGCCTGCCAGGACGAGCCTTCCCACATGCGCGGTCAAGTCCTCGACTTTCAAGTGGTTTCGGGTCTCGTTGTCCTGCCAGGGCTAGCGGCTAGCAATCTATGTCGGGAAAATCCCATCACTGCACAAAGCCAGGGCACTCGGAATGTCGAGTCTTCGTTGAGGCTAGTGTCAATATCCTGGCACAAAGTTACGCAGTCACATTCAGAAACAACTAATCAGATCCACTGGTTCTCCCCAGTGCGTCCTTGAAGTAGAACGCAGCGAATGCTGCAGTGGCAGCAACCACGACCAAGAAAAGAATAGCCCAGGCCACATCTTTGTAAGAGCCTTGAGCAGTGAGGACTGGATCGCAGTGAGTTTGAGCTGGCGAGACTTAATTAAAGCAGTCAGGCGACGTCGAGACGGGAAGAGATGAACCGAGTTCAGCAGATGTGCACCAACCTGGATCTCCTTGCCAAGCAATGTCTTCTTAGCCACCACATATTTGCTGCAGTTGGGGTGCTAATGCTGCTCAGACGCTTGCATCTTGTTCTCCCTGTCAATACGGGGCCCAATTGAAAAGGGGGTTGTTCCCTCAGAATTAGTCGGTCCAGCTTCACACTCTAGCAGGAGATGCAGAGCAGAGATCGCTCGAGCCTGCGCTTTTGGGGAAACTTCCTTAGAAGCAAGGGCATCAAGCAGAGAACACCACTCTGCTCGGCAGCGCTACAGTCTCTGGTTGTCGCCAAGCCACTGAAGACTGGCCAGGTTCTGAAGGTTGACTTGACGGCCATTTACCGCCACCGAGTCTGGCGGCCGCGTCTCCATCGCTCCGACTGACTAGCCGTTTCTGCAAGGTTTGACTGAGAGGGGCTCTGGGAACGACTCTGGAACCGTGCCAGCAGAGATGACTGCAGACATCTATGGGCCTGCTGAAAGAGAGCAACGCATGCTTCATTTCTGCACCGCACCTCTGCAGGCTTTGTTGCTGCGTAGCCGTCTGCCATCCAGACCTTGGGTTCTCCCGAAGAACAAGGCGCTATGCCACTGGTTCACACTTCTACTGCATGTTCCTTTCAGCTCCTGACCAGCACGACCGGGATTTGGAGACTTTCGGTGTGAAGGTGTCAATAGCAAAAGCTGTTTCTTTGGATGGCTACCGTGTAAAGTTAAGAATACTCTGCATGGTAGCGTCTGCATGCTCGAGCAGAGGATGCGCAGGTTGTGTAAGCAGATGCAGCTGCCCTCCCTCTTACCCTCAATCACTTAACCCCCGCAAAAAAAAAACACACTAAATCACGAAACCCTAAACCCCAAACTCCCCTCTTGAAGACGCCTTGCTCTTGCTGGGCCCACGAGGGCTCCCGACTGAAAACCTGCCTTGGGCCGGTCTGCAGCTCCCGAACGCTCTGTGGCCTGGCACCAAACAATAATACCGACAAAAAGACCAACAAGAGTAGTACCAATATTAACAATATAACTTACAATAACAATTACAGTAATCAGAGTAATGGTAGTAACAATAGAAATAATATTAACAGTAAAAATTAATAACATAATTGCTCTGTGATAATAGTTATCTTTGTAGTAATCATCATTAATAACAAAAATTTACTTTTTTCCGACCCTGGCGACTTTCTCCGCCTCGCAGGAGATGGAGTCGAAGAAGGACTTGGTCTTGTCGTAGCCCGGCAGTGGCTTCAGAGAATCGCCTGCGCTTTTCGAGACAAAAAAGCTTATTGATTCTGGGCATTTCTTGAAAAGCGCAAAGGTCGCGGGCCTTCTTCGCCTTCTTTGGCTACAGCTTCCTTGTCGAACCTTGGGTTTGGCGAGCTTAGCAGCCTCGAAAGTGGCGCTCCAAGAAGGAACAAGATTTGCCATGCATTTGTAAGACGATGGAGGCTGCTAGTGCAAACCAGTGGCTTGGAGTTCGCGGCCGTGACATCGAACTCCTTCTCGAATTCCTTCTTAACCTGGCGTGCAGCCAGCTACCACGGCCACAAGGTGCAAGGCTCCTTCGCCGATTAAGCATGTTGCTTCAGTGATCAAGGGTGCAGAAGTCACGAAAGGTTGCGCCACACTTCAGATGGCAAGCCGCGAAAGTGGGGAAGCTGGCCTCCTCGTTGGCCTCGGGGAGAAGCTCTCCAATGGCAGCACCATCGCCTGTCCAAGTTCCAAGCTCTCAGAATGGAACCAGCAAAACCTTAAATGCACTGCACCACCATCTGCACCGAGTGGCGTCGATTGCCGCCCTTGCTGCCACCGCCGCCCTTACCCCTGCCAGGATGGTCACACATCCCTGAACACCCCGTGGTCACTCGTCGCTATTTGATGACCGGGATTTCCCGTGAATGCACGGCCGGCGTTCTTGATTCAGAAGTTCGGCTGCAGGGCCCGTGAGGTTTTGAGCCCACGGCTTGGCACCCTTCTCTCCTTTGCCAGCCTGCACGTGGCATTGATGCCAATTGAAGTGACAAGAGCTCAACGAAGGAGCATATCATGGCTCTACATCTGTAATCATCTGCGGTATGCTTCTCCGCTGTTTCCCACCTTGCCCTCGCCCTTGGTGGCCTGCGCATCTTCAATGAAAGCAGACGAGACTCAGAAGACAACACCGTGCCTTGCCCGCCTTGCCCTTCGTGTCCTTTCCTTTGCCCTTGGCATCGCCTTTGCTTCCTCCCTTGGGCCCGGCGTCCTGCCGTCCGCGGAGACGCGCAGGATTACATGTGATTGTGGCGGTTGTACGCTCATCCTTTTCTCTCTTGCTCAATATGTTCGCACGTGAAACACGCAGCCGTTGCCGATCTCTATGAAATCGTGGAGCCATAGCCCGAGTAGCCACCTGTGAAGCGAGGCGTCAGGTCACGACGCAAGGAACTCAAGGACCCCCTTCTGAGTCGGTCACCAAAAGCGGCAGGTCTGAGCCTGCCATGGAGGCTTCACAGCCTATGGCCTACAGAATGCACCCTTCTTGTTTTGAGCATGGCCTTGCGCCCTGCATACCTTCTGATCTGTCCATGGAGACATCAAGATCACCTTCACGAAGGTCTTCGTCCATGGCTTGATTTCGGCAATGCTCCGGCAACACACTCTGCGACGTAAGCCACCGACCATGAGTCCTGAGTGCACTCTGAGTCTCTCTGCGGAGCATTTTTGGAGGTCAAACACTTTTGATTTCGGCAGTGACATCGTTGATGACCCACCCTCGCCGTTAATATTGTGGCAATTACTTGGTTTGGCCCCGCTTTCTGGTCTGGCCAGATCCCCATGCAAGGGCTATGTGCCATGCGCCTGACGCCAACATGCTTATGCTATCGAGCTTGTCCCGCGAGAAGGCACCTACTGTTGGCTGACCTCTACCGAAACCCAGACTCCGATTGTGTTGCCCTGGCCATAGCGTCGCTTACCCTCCTTTGTTGCCAAGCATCTTCTCTGCCTCGGCTCTTTTCAGCTTCCGGTAGCTGCCGTACCTCAGAGCAACACCAACGGCTCCTTGCCCTACACGCAAATATCAATCACGCAATGAGGTTGTGGCGAGTACAAGGAATAGACGATGCCACCACCTGTAAAAAGAGTGACCACGATGAGCACGAAGACCCAGTGGGCCAAGTCCTCACCAAGAGATACATTGCTGCTGTGACTCATTCTCGACATCCCTTCCCCGAGAGCACCTGTAGTGACTAAGCTCTCAGACCAAGTCAGCACACCCCTCTTGGTCGCAGGCATTGCTCACTCGGAAATCCTTCGCGTACACCGGAGCGCTGCCGATGCGAACAACATCGTAAAGCCACCTCAATCGCTTGGCTGCATAATTCACTGCAGAACACCTTGGTCGTGGATCTACCAAAACTTGTATCGAAACCGATGTATCGAATCTTTCAGGGCAGGACCCTGTCCGGCAACAGAAAGCTACGTGCTCGGAACACAAGCTTGCAGGACGATGCCACGTCACCAATAGGATGAGTTGGCTTTTCTGAACCGCCTTCGATTGTAAAGTTTGGACGTTGGTACGGTCTCCGGCTTCGTCTGCAAGTTAAATGCAATTAAACGTATATGATATCCAGGACTGCAGGAATGCACTCCACGAATACGTGGTAAGTCCCAGACCATGTGCCCAGTCCGCCAAGCGTCACCAGCCTGGGCTGCGAGGAAGTCGTAGACAGGGCAAAAGCATGCCCGCAACTAGGAGCCACACTTTATCAGCCCACTGATAGGCAAGCCGAGGTAGAAACGATCTAGACCTTGTCGGATGCATGTTCAGAGTCGGGATACCGTGACGGTTGCAAGCGCAAGCTACACAAGGTCGTGCACTTTTGTACACTACAGGCGCGAGGTTGCAGCCACATCAGGGTTGCGTGCTTTGTCTGCGGCCGCTTTCATCACAGCTTCGTAAACTCTGGGCATGTGGTCGATAACCATTCGGTGACCACCGGACAAATCAATGCGAGGTGCCAATGCCTCCGGCTCGAGTTCTTCGACTTCACCATCAGTCTGAAGTAAAAAGCAACGACCAGCAGGGTAAAGCTTCAGCATGTCTATGGACTCCATGGACTTGCTACAAGTGCTTCCCATTGCCTCTGCAGTGCTCATCTGTAGGGCCTTTTCGAATCCCTGCGGGATGGCTTCTGCAGCCGCCTGTGCTGCCTTCAGAAGCCCTCCGGAGTCGCGGCCAGCCTGAGCTCTTTCCAACAAACGCTTCGCGAGGTCACCGGCGCCGGATGCCGCGAGCACGGCACGGCCATGAAGCTCCAGCAGATGGCCGGTCGATAACCGTGGGACGACGTCTTCGGCATGACAGAAGGAGGCCACGCGGTCCCGCAAAGACTCGCTGACAGCTGCCGAACAAATCCCTGGAGCTCCGAAGCTGAAGCAGCGCACTCTCAGTCGGCAGCTGTACTTCTTCTGGGCATCGGCATCGCCGCAAGTGCCGGCTTGGCACTCGAAGTCGGCAGGAAGGATTGTCACAGGCAAGGTATGCCCTTCCACTATCTCCAAAAAGAGCATTGTCAGGTATGCAGCCACTCCACCACCCAGGCTGTGCCCCGCAAAAGTGACTGTGTCCACTTCGCCAGAAAGGTCGCGCAGGACTGGCGCAATGACCCGAAGAACATTGCAGGCACTCTGCAGCATGTTCTTGTGAGCCTATCAGGGGCCAAAAAAAGGCGCGAATGCAGAGCTCGAATGCGGGCCTTGCCCCCAAGGAAAAGGTCGACTTCCTCGGCGCCCAGGTCCGTCAGCACATCTGGCACGCTGAGGGTACCTTCTGCAAAGCAAAGGCAGAGGCCAATTAGGCGTCCAATGAGACGAAGTCTGCACTCAGGGTCACTAGGGTCTAAGGCCGATCTCCTCACCCTGTGCCTCGCACGGTGACAACAGCCTCACGGCGCTCGCGATCGAGAAGCACATAGTGAGCTGGGAGTAGCCAGCCAGCCCGTAGCGATGCATGAGGCACCAACACCTGCTAGCTCAGGTGGCACGGATGCTAACATGTTACTCGCTTCATCTTGCGACTTACCACCTCAACGTGTCATGCGGCCTTCTCGGGATTGAGGCTTGCACCAGTGTGTTTGCACAGTAGTTGGACAAAGTTCTGCTCGGTGACAACAACTCCAGCCCCTGGGCGCAGTGTCACACGGCCATAAGCAGCAGAGGCCATTCTCATGTATCGATGTGCTTCCAAGAGGATGTCGGCCCTCCCAAACTCCGAGCTCTGCATCTCGGGTGGGGCCGTCTCATCCTTGGAGACCCGCTTCCGCTCGTTTCTGTCCTTGACAAAGCTCTGTTTTGGATCGTGAGCTCAACCCCCTTAGCACTCCTGCTTTGTTGTCGGGCCTGAAAGCTTGGAAATGCGACCTTTGTGCAGCCACAGCTAGCCTTGTAAAACATGTGAGTTCAACGGATCGGACGGGCCTTATCGCTGACTTCGAAAGAGATCTGCCGCGAGCTTTCATACCGATGGACTCTGATTCTGACTGTTCCGCCGCTGTGATGGCATGCCGGGCTTGTCCCAGACTACAAGGCTTCTGCGGAGCAAGGCTGAAGAGGACTCGCTTCTGCAGAACATGTGATTCAAGCTGTCAAGCATAGTTGAACAAGCCAAACCCCCTGTTCAAAAGCACCTCCCCCATCTCGCGGACGTTTTGGGTTCAAGGTGCAATTGGCAAACTGTTACTTGTGCTTCTCACACTTCTCATCACAGCTGAGTCGAGGTCATGCAACACGAGGACATTCAGGCCCACCAGCGTCTTCGGCAGTGTTTCGGGCGAGATCTTGGCCATGAGGCTTCGGTAAACATTTGCAACCTGAGCTTGTGCAGAAAGAAGACGAAGCAAAAAAACATCAACACACGAGACGTTGCTGCGACAAGTCTGCGGCTGGTCGAGGCCCCTCCGACTGAAGCCACGGTCAGTCATGGGGACCGAACTTCTCGAAACTCTGAGCCTTTGGACTTGTGGGGGGCTGGTATTGCCTCGACGGAGCAGACGAGGCTCCTTCCTCCCGTCCTCCAAAGAGACGCTCTTGCTTTCGAGGAGCGGGGCCCAAAGCATCCCACAACTGATGCTCCCAAGGCGACTGCCAGGCCGGCTGCTTCTCGACCTGCTCCTAAAGAGACAACGGGATGTGCATTCAAATTCTCAGAGAAGTTTTGGGCATGCACTGGGAAAAGGGCATCTCGTGATGACGAGCTGGCCGGGTATGCCAAAGATGGCACCAAATCCTTGGACCGGAGAATGAGTCAGTGGGGATCTGACACCCGCAACTACTGCTGCTAGCACCCTAAGGATCCTAAGGCGATACCGACGGAGCCTTCAGGTCTTTCACGGTTGAGATCTTGCAGTCATTACCAACGACAGCTTCGGCTTGACGCAATAATCTAGAAAACCTACAGCATCGTGTTTGGATGATGTGGCAGCTCTCGGGCATCGAAGCACAGTTTTTGCATGCAAGATGCGGGCAAGCGATCAAGATTCACATGCCATCTGCCACCTTGCAACACTACTTACGCATGGCGATTGGTACCAGTATCAGTTTGTCCCAGCCCGACCTTTTCCACATTCGCACTTGCTCCACGTTGAAGCCCTGCAGGGAGACCCAACGATGTTCTCTCAACCTCACCCGGACCTGAAACTTGTTCCACAGAAGAGCTCCAGCTCACACGGATTGTCGCTCCGGTGCCTTAGTCGGCCCCTCCAGTGTTTCTGCAGCACGACTTGAGCGGCTACAAGGCCAGCCGCCCAAAGCTCGCGGACAGGAGGCATCTGACTTTCATGGCATGCGCAGAGACAACAGGCAGCAGCCACTGTACTCGACTAAAACTTATGGGCTGAGTCGAGCTCGAACAAAGGTGTACATAAGTCATCTTACCTCGTCATTGTTAAAGTCGACCCTACATGTCGTGCCTGACGGCTGCGGAAAGGAAGAGTGAGTGTGCCAGCTTCTCCTCCTGCCAAAACGGTTGGCGCATCTTCAGGTCATCAGATGCCCTGGTCCAACTGCTGTTTGGCGCACAAACTTACTTTAGTGTCGAACAGTGAAGTGGGGTGGCGCACTTATGGCAAGCTACAGCTTCGCTGAACCACCTTCTGGGAACCTTGTATCCCCGAGATCGGGCAAACAAACAGCAATTCTTCCAATTTGCATAAAATGCAAGCTCTAACACCATGCCCGCCTGCTCAGAAGTGATGGACCTGTTGT